TATATATATTGTACATATTATTAACTACGTAGAAATGTGCAGATTTCGTTACTGACAATAAACTTTAAACAACAACAGAAAAGAGTTGATGATAACTTGGCTAAATAAACGAGCTTTTTAGCTTTTAAAAAGAAAGTTACATAATTTGTTTATCAAAAAATAGTGAAACGTAACAATAATATTTACATAATTTTTAAGGAAATCTCAATACTACTAAATATAATTTACCAACCCATTTATTGGGGTATCAACAATTCCGATAACCCTATTTGTATCTGTGAAGTCAAGGCAATTTTATTGCAAGTATCTATTAAAACATCGACTTTGTGTGTTGGATCAATTCATATTCAATTACAAACAATTGAAGGTATGTCTCACCAATCATTTACTAACGGAAGAGACATGAAAGCATTTATTAGATTTGCCACAGCCTGTGCATTATTTCTCGTACATTATTGTAAAGCCACTGATCAACATTCGGTAATAATAGTAGGCGCAGGATCATCTGGAATAGCCGCGGCTACGAAGCTTTTAGAAAACAATTTCACAGATTTTATAATCTTGGAAGCAGAAAACAGAATTGGTGGAAGAATATTTACCGTTCCGTTCGGTAATGGACTTGTGGATTTAGGAGCCCAATGGTGTCATGGACAAAAGGACAACATTGTTTACGAAATTGTAAAGGACCTGGATGTTTTAAAAGTCGATGATGTTAATTCAATCACCCATCTGTATACAAAATTCTCTGTAGACAAAAATACCAGTGATACCGTAAACAGATTATTTGAGTCAATTTACGAAAATATGGAAGAAGACCCAAACGCAGCTTCTCTTCACGACTATTTCGTCAAAAGGTTTGTAAGCAAAATAGATGTTGTTCTTTAAGTATTTAGTAACATACTATTACTAGCTTTGCCTGACAGTAACTTTTCAGAAAAATTACGATGAAAGAAAACGGGTAGAATCTACAAAATTTCAAACGATTCTTATTTTTCTTAAGTTTTGATGAAAGAACTTCATAAATATATATACCATTATTAATATTTATTACAAAACTAGGTTTTACACGGGGTTTCGCTTGCGTTGAAGATCATCGACGACCATATGAAGCTAATTTTTCTGTCCCTCGGGAACAGTATTTGTTTTCTGAATAAAAGATACCCTATGTCCTTTATTGTACCCTTGACAATGTATGCACAAAATTTCATTACAATTGGTGGAGTAGTTAAGGTGTGAAATGGTAGCAGACAAACAAACAAAATTGGTTACAGTGGATTTCATTTAATTCAATCCTTCGTTTGTAGATACAATAACAGTATTAATGAATTGTATTCTGACAAACCGGAGATTCTACAATATGCAAAAGACGCTACAAACTTATACCTCGGTGCAATATGTTCTCTGGAAAGTAGTTTTGACGTGTCTGACATTTCAACGCAAAGCGAATACCAAATATGCGAGGGAGATCAATCCCTACAATGGAATGGGAAAGGATACAAAATATTTTTGGATATATTAATGAAAAAGTATCCCAATCCGAACGAGAGTCTTCCCATCGATGATAAAATTTTATTAAACAAAGAAGTTACAAATATAAATTGGCAAAACAGTTTTCAACCAAATTCATCGAAATCCGAGGTGAAATGTTCAAATGGAGAAGTGTATTACGCGAATCACGTTATTGTAACGGTGTCTCTTGGTGTTTTGAAAGAAAATGGTAGCACTATGTTTACTCCAAAATTACCAAATGAAAAAATTAAAGCGATTGATGACATCGGTTTCGGAGCTGTTATGAAAATATATCTTTTGTATGAAGAAAAGTGGTGGCCGGAAAATTTGGGTTCTTTGAGTTTTGTTTGGTCTGAAGAAGAAAGAGAACGTTTAAAACATGTAAGAATCACCATTTAATCTTATAATTTATTACTCCAAGAAAATTCCCAAAATAAGTCTATCAAATTTATCCCAATCTACCACAATAACTGAAAGATTTATTCAAAACCACTCCGATATTTATTTCGTTCATTAGTAAATATCTTTGTATAAACTTGGGGTGGAGGGGTATTGAAAGAGGAGGTCCCCACCACCACTGTACCGTAAAAAGTTCGTGACGGTCTCGTCCCCATAAAAAGTTATAGGGGTTCAAAGTTAATAAATATGCCAAACTAATACATAAAAATATTGAGAAAGAGAACATTATTTAAATATCTTTATCAATAGGGTAGGTTAGGTTATCGAGTTTTGTTCAAGTGACCACCCTCTTTCGATCCCTCACTCCCACCCTCTTGAAAATAATCTTTTTATTGAATTTTATTTGAATTATAGTGTATGAAAATTGTCTTTCAACCCCCATAACTTTTTAAGGGGATAAGACCGCCGCAAATTTTTTATGGGTTTTTACTCAGGTAACCACCCTCTTTCGACCACCCCTACCCCCACCACCATATAACTCCCTTAACTTTTTATGAGTTGAGACTGTCACGAACTTTTTGTGGGGGAGACCTCCTCTTTCGATCCCACCCACCCCCACAACCTTCGGGGGCGATTAAATATTGTCATGTTGTCTTCTAAATCTAAATATTTAGGAGGGTCTTCNAATGAAAAATATTGAGAAAGAGAACATTATTTAAATATCTTTATCAATAGGGTAGGTTAGGTTATCGAGTTTTGTTCAAGTGACCACCCTCTTTCGATCCCTCACTCCCACCCGCTTGAAAATAATCTTTTTATTGAATTTTATTTGAATTATAGTGTATGAAAATTGTCAACTTTCAACCCCCATAACTTTTTAAGGCTGTAAGACCGCCGCAAATTTTTTATGGGGTTTTACTCAGGTAACCACCCTCTTTCGATCCCCCCTACCCCCACCACCATATATCCCCCATAACTTTTTATGGGGGTAAGACCGTCACAAACTTTTTGTGTGGGAGACCTCCTCTTTCGATCCCACCCACCCCCACAACCTTCGGGGGTGATTAAATATTGTCATATTGTCTTCTAAATCTAAAAATATTTAGGAGGGTCTTCGATGGTATTTAAATATCTTATCTTTAATAACAATAAAAGGAAATGAAAACGTTGTGTGTCTGTGGATTGCCGGCCAAGATGTACCTAAAATTGAAAATCTTACCGACGGTGAAGTCTTATCAGGAATTAAATACGTTTCAGATTTATTTTTAAAGCCAAAATATAGAAATGTGACGAAACCTTCAAAGATTTTACGGTAAGTAATATCAGAATTTCGTTCATAGATGTGATAGCGGAAATTTTATGGTCAATTTTTTAACCCTAAGTATAACTAACGCCTTTCAGACAAACCTTAAAATACAAATCTAAATCAGTAGATAGAATATGGTAATTTTAAATTACCCTGATGTGAAATGTTTGTGAAGTCTTAGAATGTATTTCGGGGTTTATGTAAAGTTTCAATTTATTAATTCAATTAAAAAAATTAACATATTGGTTATATCGACCAAAACCATAGGTCCCAGCTGAATGCTACATGACTTCCCTTGTAATGAATACCGCTTTTTACAACATCGCCTTTAAAAACATATTTTTATTTTTTTCTATTGTAATTCCTTAAACAAAACATACATACAGTAAAACCAAAGACAGGTTTCATGTATCTCTTCGTTCGGTTCATTTATGGACTTTTTCGTAGACGAATTTGTACCTTAAAAACATTACCGGTTATTACAATCAAATATTAGCGGTCCCTTCGATGCCGTTACAACAGATTTTTGACTGTACGCAGATAACAATTTATTGTATTTTAGTACGAAATGGCTGTCATATCCACATTTTCGAGGAACATATTCTTACGATTCCGTTAAAATGCGTAAAAATAAAATAAGTCGTGGTGACTTATCTGAACCATTAATTCACCCTGTTACAAACGAACCCGTTGTCTTGTTTGCTGGAGAGGCTATGAATCGTTATCACTATTCAACAGTGCATGGTGCTACTGAGACCGGATTTCGTGAAGCCGAAAGGATACTTCAAATATATAAAAAAAATGTATTCTAAAGCAACTGAATGTAGGTATTGAACTCATTAAAAAAGTTTTGTAACTTTTAGATAATTAATTTTGAAATATTTTTAAACACCCTCGGTTTTAAATTAAAATATTATTATAGATATAAGATTTGAAGTCTTTGTTGTAAATATAACTAGAAATTACTGTTATGATAATCAACTTTCATTCATTCAAATTAGTTAAATCAACCAAATCGTGTATTTTTTTGTTGAAGACACTGATAATAAACACGTTGAAATTCTACCTGATATTATAAATGCGAATGTTACTATTTCACGCTTTAACTACTGAATCGATTATCATCAATTTTTGTAAACACATTGTCAGGGATGCGGAAAAGGACATAGGGTACCTTTTATCCGGAAAAATATTTTTTTTTGTATCCGAGGGCCACTAAAATTTCTAGTATCGCAAAGTGTATATTTTGACTAGAAAATTAGAAACCTCCTAATGATTCTGCTCAATTTATCAATATATTGTATTTTTTATGATCTTTAACGCGCATTTAGGACATCAATGCGAGCGAAGCCTCGGGTAAAAGTTTGTAATAAATAATTTGAACTAACTGTACGATTTTGAAAAATACCTACCGAACAGAATAAAAATATGAAGAGAAATTGGTCAGATCACATATAAAATGTACAAAACATAAAGGGTAATGATTAAATGTTGTGTTGGAAAACTATAATATTGTTATCAGAGATCTTCTGAAAACTTCAAGTTCAACAACAAACCATTTGTGAATAAAAAACAAGTGTGAGAAACTAACATACGCCAATAATTTCGATATCTGATTATCTTAAGATCATCTAGTTTTTTTTTGTGTCGATTTTATATACTTTTACATCTAAAACAACACGCGTATGATTCTGAAAACGATAACAATACATACAAAACCCGAAAAGTCAACTGTCGCCTCCTAGTTTAGTCATTTCTGTTGGCGTTGAATGTTGAGGGATGAAACAATGATACAAAATAATAAAACATATTTGAAAGATGTTGTGGGCCTTGCACTGAGGCTGGGACAAATATTCGGAGTTTGTCCATTATATCTACCAAAAGATGGAACAGCTATACCAGAATCGAGCAAATGGCGAATAGTCTACGGTTTAATAGTACTGATTGCGTATGGAATTACCTGTCTGCCCATAATTTTTGAAACTCATGCCCATATCACCGATTCCAAATTAGGATCGATACTGTGGACCTTCGTCGATGTGCCTATGAATCGATTTTTGGGCATACTGGTCTTACTGACTGGCATAATACAACGACAACGTATCATAAGAGCATTCAAATGCATTTCCGAAGTGGATGAAATTCTAAAACCGTTTGGAATAAGGAAAAGTATGTATTCGAAAACCTACAAATATTGTATAAAAGTAATTGTGTTCGGACTGATGGCATGTGTGCTAACTTCGCTTCTATGCATCCATGACTTCATGAGTAATTTCTGTGAAACGCTTACAACATTGCTCCTGTACGCTACCATCGGGCAGCTTCTGGTTTATCTACGGCTGATAAAAGAGCAGTCGAAGTTTCTGAACGCCATGGTCACAAATTTTCAGACAAAAATGGTCTTTAAAGAAATTCCGTGGTGTAACAAAACCATCTTGGCTGAAATTGTACCAGTGATCCATTATAAATTAAACGATGCGGCACAAGAAATTAATCAAGCGTACATGATATTCTTTTTTACCCTCGTTACTCAGACACTGCTCGGAAATTTATTTGCATTGTTCGGCAGCTACCAGTTACTATTTGGGGGAAGAGAGAAAAGAACTGCGTGGGATGCAACCCTCACCGTTTATTCTTACTCAAATTTAAGCGTCTTCTTGTTGGTGTTCCTTATCAAAATTTTGACTGGATGTTCTGATGTTGCCGAAGAGGTAAGTGATCACGATTTATTTTTAATTTGTGCATTAGTTCCTTGAGACAATCTTATTTTTGTCTCCATTCGAAATTTGGATTGAGTATGCGAAAGTTAAATTATCAAAAATTTCCATAAAATACTTAATTGTAGTATTGAAGCTAAGAAGCAAATTCCTAATTGTTCCCATATATCGTTAATTAACAATTTCCAGCCGATTTTAAACTTTATATTAAACAGTATGCCCACATGGATTATTATAATTCACAAAGCAATAAAAAGCAAGTCGTAACAATAATAAAACATTTTTACTTACCTACCTACAATACCTATTGCAAACAAAGTTTTTTATTCTGCTTTAGCAGTGTTTACAATTTTTTTTTAAGAAATTTATTAATTTTCAGTCAATGCACAATTAGTCTCCAAAAGAAGACTTCTTTTTTTCTTGTAATTTAATGATAAAATCCTCTTACTAATTAAAACACAGTTTTAAAGTAAGAATTTTATTCATCTACTTCAGACATATTATTGGTTTCATCTATTTACATTCTGTTCTATCGAAAGAGAAAAAAATTACTTTATTGCAAAGGCCTCCTGTTGGATTTGATAATTAAGGGGTCAACGTGATGTTTACTAAGAATATGAGAGATTTTTTCTAATAGCACATGAAATAATACTATTTCAGGTGGCTCATCTCGAAGGACATATTTACAAGGAGTAATTTTTCTTCTTTTTTATCACAAAGAAACATGTTTTACAAAGAACATTACAAATGTAAATTAACTAATACAAACGTATTTTTATGGCAAAATTACATTTACTTAAATAAATGCATGATTAATTTTATCATGAAAATGAACTGGAAAAGACAGACAGCTAAAATTAACAAGTTAAAAACTAATGAAAGTGGAATATGGATAGGTACCCATCTGGTTTATACGTATTCTTGTATGTGTAATTGATTTAATTGTCCCTTTTTCGTAACAACTACCCCATCAAAACCAATTAAATTTATGTTTATATTATTATCAACCACCTCTTCAAGGGAAAACAGAAACATCTTTGAAAATATTGTTCTGTGAATGATGCACCGTTTAAAATGTACTCTATAACAACGGTGGGCAACCTAGGTCCCGCGGGCTAACTCTAGTCCGGGAGACCATTTTAAAGAATAATTTTTTTTTTTAATCAAAAATTCTTAATCAACGTAACTAATATAATCTGTTGTCTTTATTCGTAATCTAGTATTATAATAATAATAACAAAGACTGTTAATGTTGCAACTAATTTTGCAAAATAAAGGTGGATAGGTCTAATAGAACCGAGCACCTTCCTTTATATGTTTAATACCTTAAACACGGGATTGTGGACAAGAAGGTTAAGCCACTTACGTCCGTTATTTTACCTTCTAAATATAGTAAATAAAGAAAACTTATAAGTAACAAGAATTTGTCAATTTTCTACTCCAACCAGCGTACTTAAAGTAAACCTTCAACTGGTCCCCACTACACAAAAGGTTGCCCACTCCTGCTCTATAGTAGATGTACTTAATACGTATACATAAGATTTTTTATTTTCTGTTTTTTCATTTTTTTATTCCCTCCCGCCTCCACTTTCTCTTTTTATTAATTTTATTATAAATGTTGTTTCATATCTATCATAAATTGCGGAGTACCCTTTTCTATTAACCTCAATTTAGACCTTAAATACAATTATTTATTACGTATTGTATCTACTTCTTCTTTAATTATTATTTCACAAATCATTTTTAATGTTAATCATACATAATCTTGTAACCTGAAATTACTATTATTTTATTTCAAATGTTTTTTCTTATCTATCACAAAATGGGAAGTACCCTTTTCTATTCATCTCAATTTAACCTTAAATACAATTATTTATTACGTATTGTATCTACTTCTTCAATTATTATTTCACAAGCATTTTCAATATTAATCATAAATATTACTTTAACCACAAATTACTATTATTACTACCTGAGGTACCTTTTTCAAGTACAATTTAATGGAAAATCTACCAGAACCGATATTCAGATCAACTTTTAGTTATAACTATCAGCATCAACAAGGGCATCCTGTCTAACTTAAATCTATTCTACAACCTCAGGTATAAATAAATCTGTGCAGTTGCACAGTTCTTTATGAAGATATTAAGTATTTATTATCAAAGAACCAATTAGTTATTTATCAGTAAACGGCTTACCTATCACAAGAGGGAAATCGTTCATTATCTAATAAATACGTAACTAGATCAAGATCTTTCTTTTTTTTTATTGGTCCCACCCACCTCCACATTCACCTTATTTTATACCATCTTATACTTCTGTATGCTATTTTAATCGTTATACCATTATTTATCGGCTTTTAAAGACGTGCCTAAGAATATTGGGGAATGTACCAACAATAAAATCTTACTCATCAACTTTCACACTGCAAAACCCTTATTGCAGTTTTTTTTTTTTTTATAATCTAACATCTCATTGCCTACATATTTATACTCGACTAGTTTAAAAAAAAACTTGATTAGACATTTATGGGTTTCAAAATTTAGCAGGAACAACAAAAATAAGTTTTCATTTCGAATTCTAAATATTTATCTTATCGGCGCTGGTTAAATGGCCCAGTGAGAGCGCAGGGGCCGCCAGATTGTAACTATATTTCAATATTATTTTTTTAAATTTAACTTGTAGAATTCGTGTTTTCTATGTTTTGGTTATGTTTATTTATTATTATTTACGCCCCTCTTGTCTTTATATGTATCCTGTGTTTTAGTTTTTATCGGTATGATAATTTCTGGGGGGACCGTTACGAAGAATAATTAGCATTTAAGGGAGAAATCTTCAGATTAATTTTACCATTACCTAATGCTTATAACATTATATGATATACACCAACAGAGATAATTACTTTTAATTTATGAATAGGCTTTGAACTATTAACGTACAAAAGAACTGTGTCACTAAAAATATACTATTCCTCACCTGCACTGCAAATTTTGTGTTTCGTAGGCCCTCCCACCACCACTTTCATTTATTTATTGTTCAGTTTTTACCACAACCTTTCAACTCTTTTGGTTTTCTTTCTTATTGATTACCCTAATCTACTTGTTGATTTTTTTTACCATTTATTATCCAACATATTGTTTTTTTCTGTAA